AACCTCTTTCATGTAGGCTACCATTTTTTCAGGGATTGAATCTCTAAACTAGGCCCTGCCACCCACCCCACCCACCCCACCCACCCCACCCACCCCACCCACCCCACCCACCCCACCCACCCCACCCACCCCACACACACACACACACTGTGAAAAGCTCCCCGTGAGTAGGTGTAGGTACAGGATGTAGCGGCTCATTGCGCCAAGACGCGCTAGCCAGTGCACGGAGGTATGAATTACCGAGAAAAAAAACTCGCAGGTACGTTTTCCCAGGATCGGTGTGGTGGCTTCGTCACACACACACACACCAAACCACCCCCCACCCCACTCGCCCTACCCCCCCACCCCCCCACCATCCCACTCCCCCCCCCCCCCGCGCTTCTTCGCGGCAGGATCCGCGTTCGCCAGGAAGCCGATGAGCTTCGGGCCCACGCCTCCGGCGGCCGCCACGGCCTGCGGGGCGCGCTGACCAAACGGGCGGCGCTCGTCGGCTTTCGCACCCCGCGTTCGGTGGCTTTGAAGGGGAAAATGCAATTTTTGGTCTATGTTTATCCCTTTTTGGTGGTTGTAAAGGGGGGAAACTGCCATTAATGGAACTCCGCCACGTCCCCCAAAACGAATATGGCCGCGGTTCCTTGAAGAACCCTTACAAACTCCCCCTTTTCCATGATCGTCAACACCTGAAAGGTTGCTTTCACCATGACACATGTTCACGAGCCGGTTCTCCGCAATCAACAAGGATTTGGGAAATGAACCTAGGCACCCTTAAAGAAGCCACCGGGATGGTGTGGGGGGGCATTCCCTCCAAGAACCTGCAACTGTTTTTCCAACCCACCTGCCCTTTTTGGAGGTAACCTCATCCAGAGTCCCAAGACTTGAGGTCCATGATCATCACCAAGCCCAGGGAGAGGGACGTTTGGACCCAAGCTGTCTGCTGGCGGTGGTTTCGTGTCCAGTTCTGCAACGCGTAGATAGGCGGCCTCTGGGGGACCTTGCCGCGAAAACCACAGATTCCAAAATGCTTCAAGTACAACCTGGAGGGTTTGGGCGCTTCAATATGTTTGCTGGCGTAGCCTTTTCACCTTGCTTGCAAGGGCAAGAATGACAGGAGACGTTCAAAGGGGTGTGCCTTAAACTCAGGGACCTTTCATGGCTGGCGTCCCTTTTTGCCTTCCTTTGAAGAAATCCAACCAAAAAAAGGTACCCATCCAAAAACCAGAGAAGCACGCCCATGTGTTGGCCATGGGTCAAAGGCCTGTACCCCCCGTGAACATCCCAATCCCCACTAAAATAGGCTCTAAAATGGCCCCAAAATCAGATCCCATCCACAGCCATTGGCGCTTTTTCTGTTGGGGGGGAGATTTGTGGATGTGTTTGGGTCAGAGCCGTCGATCCCCCGCCCATCGATCCCCGGATTCCCTCGGCCTGGCGGATCTCTTCCCGGAAGGGCGCCGCCACCTCGTCCGCCAGGACCTGATGGGCATGGCTCAGCACGGGAAGCGGAACTCATGGCTCCACATCATATGGCTGTGTGTGTCTTTGTTGTTGTTGTTGTTGTTGTTTTTTCTTGTTTCTGTTGCTTTTGTTGGGGGGGGGGGTCGTGAAAAGAAAACCACTTGTTTGTTGTTTGCTGTTTTCCTTTTCTTGTGTGTGTGTGTGTGTGTTTGTTGTTGTTGTTTTGTTTTTGTTTTTGTTTTTTTTGGGGGGGGGTCCCAAAGACACCCCCCAACTAGGTATGTGTGAATCTGATTTTCACACGGGAGACAGGGTGTTTTCTGGTTGTGCCCCTGTGGGATCATGCAAAACCGAAAATGTCATATCCTGGCAGGAAAATGCATATGACATTTTAGGCACAAACAAAATGGGCAGGATATCCTGGGCTACACAAGCTTCATGTTGGGTCATTATTTAGGCACCGTAGCCCTAACCCAACTTCGAGGCCAAGCAGCAAATGCGGCTAAAGGAAGACCCTCTTGGGGCAAGACCTCTGCCTCAAATCCCCAGGGTTTCATGGGTCCCATTGACGACCAGGTGCTATGCTTCTTCCTTGGTCACGAACATGCCAAATCAAAGTCACCTGCCTTCCCTCGGCTCTTTCGCCCACCGGATGCCGACTGATTCCTGGCCGGTCGCCTCCATTCAAAAAGCAATACATCTGTATGTTCGAACAAAGCTGCGCAACCCCCTTTGCTGATTGGCATCCTTGTCTTTCTGAGAGGAGCCAGTCAGATTCAACGCCCCCGTCCCCACCACAGATAGGCAAAATGCAGTATGCGGAACGGCCAATCAAACCATGGTGCAGTTACGCAGAATCAATGCTGATCAATAACGATATGCAGTTTGACAAACTGTTCAACACCAACGCACCTCGCGTCCCAACTTGGACTCCGCCCTGCTGAATGAGTTTCACTCGGGCAGAGCCTTTCCATCTGGGCCGGGTTCAGTTTTGCGGCAAGTACTGAGGGAGTGTGCCCTCAAGGACTAAACTCCATACCCGCAAGAAATCGGGGGCGTTGGTTTCGTCAGCTTATGCCAAATGGCTCAAAAATCGTAGCCAAAATGGCACCTTGGCAAACGAAAACAAAGACTATATAAAACCTGCGTAATAGCTCTTCATTCTTGAGCCCCACCCACATGCCATGTTCTTAGACCATGGTCCGAACCTAGTAAACCCAAACTAGAAACAGTCCCAGGCGGAACTAAATGCATAGACACGCGGGTCCAAAGTCTTTGGGACCATCGGGTGGTCTTCCAATTTGGTTTTCCCTTTCCCGCAAGAAAGAGTTTCCTAGGAAACCCACGCCAAAGGAACAAATGTCTGGCCAAAAATCACTCACTCACTCCAAAGCCGATAGGGTGTCCGGCGTTTTCGGCTTTGAACATCGGCCCAAATGAAACTCGATTTGACTGGTCCCAAAAATGATGCTCAAAACTTGTCGGCTTTTCAAAACACTTGAATGGTCTCTCACTTCCTAAGTGGGGTAGGCAAAGTCACTCCTGTTACAGCGGCATTTGGTTCCGGAACTTTGCACCCGGAACCCTCCGCTCCGCCTTGCGTGCGCCCGGGGCGTTCTCAGGGGCTTCCGCCATTGACCTCGCTAGCAGCCAGGGCTTCGGTGTTCCTTGTGGGTTCCCCTTAAGACCGCAAAGGTCAAAAACCGGGTACCCTGAAAAACGACAGGTGCCATATGGGCGTGTCGAAAATAGGGGACCCCCCCTGAAATGTCTGGCTTGCAAAACACCCATACAAGTAGCCGACCCTAATTACCAGCAGGAACTGATAGGGGCCAAGCAAAACAGATACTAATCAACCTGCATAGGGGCCCACCCAAGACCGATATCCCGGTAATATTGTCCGTTGCTCATATGGCCAACTTCACTCTGGCACATGATGGGGACAGCTTTGCAAAGACAATAGTAAAGAAGGAATTCCCAACCACTTGGCGCCCAATGAAGCTTAAGTCGGACGTTCTTACATGGTGTCAGAGTTGTTCGTGCCCTCCACATCCATAGACCATGCAAGTCAGGCTTGTCCTGGTCGACATCAAACACGGGAGCCCCATGGGTGGTGTCCCGTTGCTTCGATGAAGTAACCCGCAAAGGGTACCCTGAAGAACATCATCTCGCCCCCACCAGTCTCAGCAGAAAACTGGTCCACGCAATTTGCGCGTCACCGCAAACAGACATGTCACCTCAGAAAGGCCCATTGATCTGATCAAGTCACCAACCTGACTTAAGGTATATCATGGAATCCTCAGTCTTAGGTTCGGATCGGATCTCTGGTCTTGAGTTCACTCCCTCAAGCCTTGCATGAAATCAGTCCCGAGTTCTGGTCCCTGGGAGCGTGAGGGGAAGGAGTTGAAGACACAAGAACCGCGGTCGAAAACCAGCGTCCCCTGAAAGGGTTTGATGTCGGTGTGTCAAAAGAAAGCGGGACCCAAGAACCATGGTCTTCCCTGTAGCTCTTTGGAGTTCCCTTCAAAACCACCAAGAAAAGTGGCCTCAAAAACACGGGTTGGACAAGGTGGCGCCTGGGTCGGCGGATTCTTGCCGCGGGGGGTCTGAGCAAAATGCTGCGGCGCGGTTCAGAGGTTCAGAGGTTCCGAGGTACCAAATGAAAGCCATGCGGCAGTGTGCCTTTTACAAGGCAACCAAAAGGAAACCACCCTTCTCTTTCTTCTTCTTCTTTTCTTTTGGGGGGGGGCCTCCAATTGAGACAAACCCACGCATGCGTTGTCTGAATTCCCTAAGTCGATGACAATCCCTACCCCAACGGGGTAAAAGAAGACAATGGCAATTCGGTTTCGAATTCGGAGAGGGATAACCAGGGCTGCACATGTTCATTGCTTTCCACTCCAAAGTGCTTCACAAACATTTGCACCCCTCCACGCGGGTGTTTTGTGTTCCTTTTGGCGTTCATCCAAAAATGGATGTGTTCCCCATGTTGAGACCCAACCGTGTTCACCACCGCAACTCCCCTCCAGGGTTTGTAGTGGGCCCCTCTTCAGCTGTTCAACCAAAAAAAGGACATCGCGGACTCTGCTCTTTGTGTTCCAAAACAAACAAGATCAAACAAAAACAAAACCACCTGGACCTCCTTGAGCAAGCAGATATCCTTCGTCAGCTGAAGGGGCAGAAACTTTCTTTCGTGGGATGGTGTTTGACCAACAGGGCAGGACGATCAGCCCTCTCAGCCCGTCAGGGTGACGTCTTTTCTACTGGCTTTAACGAGGCCCCTTCGCCTCAAGAGGATCAAAGTGACATCCTTAAAGCTCAGCCAAAGGGCGGCTGAAAGCCAAATCACCCCACACCCTCGCCCCAAAAACGAAGTCACTTGAGCCCCTCAAAGTGCGACGACTTTCACTTGGCCCAGACCACACACATACAAACACCACGGTACGCCAGACAAGTTTTGTTCAAACTTAAAATGCAAAACATCTGAGGAGACCCTAGTGGGGCCCAGTGGCTGTAAGGCAAACAAAAGCTCGCCCCTTCCTCACCTCCTGAGCCGCTCCGTCCCCACGGACCACTAGCAGGAAGAGCGGCTGTAGAAACCTCACACTCCAAGCGTTTTGCTGCCCCCCCCCCCCCCTTCCCGGCACGTTGGACACCTCAAAATGCCTTTAGGTTGTTTGGCTTTTCGGGTCTTTTGAGTGGCTTGGAAAACACACTCTGAGTGTGGCACGGCTCCCCCTCCCTTTCCCTTTGTGGGGCCTTCCTGGTTAAGGCCGGCCCCAAGTTGGTTCTTCAGAAACATGGAACGAAGCAAGGTTGCGTCCCACTCTTTCAAAGAGCCTGAGACACAAAACTCTGAGGCATCTCCTTTTGCGACAGCGTTTTCTGTGAAGCTCCTTCCCTTGTATTTGTTGCAGGTTGAATTGAAGCAACTCATCCAAAGCAACACCCGTTTTTCTCCGCGGGATGCCCGCCGGATGGTCAAACCTCTCATTTCCCAGGGAGCAGCTTTAACCCCCTTGGAGGCTCTGTGACCAGTCCACTGAGTTTGTGCAAACCAAATCTTTCAGTAAACTGAAAGAATGTTCGATCTCCGAACTTGACATTCACAGCAGGAGAATCCAGGCAAGCTGCGTGGGCATCAGCTGCATGGTGGTCGCGAAGTCAATTCCCACATTGACCTGGATGTTGGCAAAAAGGCGGCTCATTCGTCCCTATGTACGGATGTTGACCCTGTAGAAAAAGCAATCCAGGTCGATTCAGAGTAAAGCAATCTCCACTAAAACAAAAACCCCTGATTAATCGCGCGGGGGTATAAATCAAGTAATCAGAACTCGCTCTGTGGGTTGTGCTCACGGATACCTTAAGAACCGAGGTAGCAACGCTGCAGTCGAGCAAGGCAAGCAGTTGGCACGTGCTACGAACATATAGTGTGCTTCACATCTAGAACGCATATGCTCCAAATACAACACCCCTCACAGCCCCCGAAACATGAGGACAAGCCAGGGCTCATGTCGCACAAACAGAAGCCCCGACGAGACAGGTGTAGAACGTGGTAGTAAAGTTTCAGAATATGCGCATCAAAGGAAAGGGTTAACAACAAGCCCAATCCACTGAGGAAACGCAACCAGATCCATTCACTATATGGTAAAGGTTTATACAGGCCTTCCTATAACCACCGTAAGACCACGTAGAAAGACCTACTGAAGTGGCCCCTGGAGGCTTTGGGTGCTGCTCACTTGGAAATATGTTGCAACTGCACACTTACTCTGACAAGAATCTATGCTGTGCCTCAAATGAACGGCAACAATTAAATGATGAGACCCCGATATTCTATCACCAGTTGTTCTTCTGAAGTCTCAGGTACTGAGAAGCACTTCCTTTTCCAGGTTCAGAAGGATCCCATCATGCTTCCTCAGTCTCCGGGATGAATCTCACTATTGAGCTTGAACTCTGGAAGCCGCCTCAAATCAGCAAAGCTGCGCAATGCGTTTTTTCGCACGACCACACAGCACTCGGAACATGCGACTTAGGCCCGGCCCTGGGCTTGCGCCTTTCGTCGGTTTGGGCACCCCCCCCCCCTCCCGCCGGCCCCTGGAAATCTGTTGCTCCAAGATCTACACAAACAATTATCTCGTCAAAAGCACCAGAAAAACAGACATCGACCGTGCAGGGGAAAAAACAAGTGAAGTCAAGTCAATTCCTCGGTGCCTCAAATCCAAAGACCAGAGACCTACACAAACACTCGAAGTCTCAATGCGGCGCTTTCTGTTTTGTAGAAACTTGGTCAGCCCTTCACACATTGAGCGCACTCTCTTCCAGCACGTCCCAAGGTCTGGGATGGACACAACTTGTTCAAGTCCAGGATGTAGGTCGAGTCATCTGTGCCAGTCTGATCGTTTGGGTTCTTGCTGCCATGCCGAAGGTAAAACACTCATCAAACAGAAAGCCTTGACGTGGAAGTAACGTTCCGAACTCTCTCCCCCCCCAGCTGGCCATGAAATAAGAAGTGTAATTAATTTTTGGAAGTTTATTTGAAAAGATTTTCCCTCCAAAAGCAAACAAGGGCACTGAATGGGGTTCATGGTCGGCGAGCGTTCCCGATCTTCGATCCTGAGTGTCCCGACAGTGGTCGCGGCCATCGCACGTTTCACCAGCATCTGCGCAGAGGGGCGGCTGACAGAACCAGTGGTCAAAACTCCAGTGGGTGAGAAGCACGGTGCCCCGCCACAGCACAAATTCATGCAACTGTCTAGGTTTTAATTGAACTGTCTGGATTCTAATTGAACACCCCGAAACCGTCCCGAAAACTCTGAGTCTGACTGCACACCTCGAACCATCTCAAATCAAACTCTGACTCAAGCTGAGCACCCAAACAAACACACACACACACACACACACACACACACACACACACACACACACACACACACACGCCAAGGAAAACAAAAAACAAGAGAAAAAACCGCCCCAATCCAAAAACGGCGCTGCAAGTCACTGAGCTCTCAGGGCATGGACCTCTCCTGATCTGATCTGAGGGCGACCCAACAGCGAGGAGGCCTCAAGGGAACCCAAAATAGGCCCCTGGCGTGTAGAAGCTCCTCCTTGGGTGGGCCGCCAAAGGCCTCGCGGAAAAAACCCGAAACATCCCCCCACCGTCCAAAATCATGTGCGTGCTCAAGATTGAAAGTTGCGATTCAGAGGACTGAAAAAGATGTGCCTTGGTACCCAAAGAAGAAGCTATCCTTTGGGTAACTGTTGCATCCATGGCTCAAGGCTCCGTTTGCCCTTCATCCCGGCCAGCAATCTCAGGCTGCTGCTGTGGCTCGCTGTGAATACGCTGTTTGAATTTGGGAACAGGATATGTGCAAGTGATTTTTGAAATACAAACCTGGAATATGCAGATGGATTTTCTGTTTGTGATAAAGCAGCTTAAAAATGCTCGACGGTCAAAGAGGAGCCCGGTCAATGGCTTGGTAGGTTTCCAACCCAGAGGGCAGCCTCAGAAGAATCACGCCCCTCTGGGGTTGTTTGTTTGAGTTGGTACCCCTTTGTTGTAGTTGAAAGGAGAATCAAAAGGAAACCACCATTTTGAGGGTCCCCTAAACAAGGAAACAAACAGGCTAATCCCAGATAACCATCCCAGTTAACCCCAAGTAGAGGGTCTTTTTGACTATGGCACATGACAGCCAACACCACAAGCAAGAGAGATCCAAGACAGGGGTTCGTACGCCGAGTTCAACTAAATGCCGCTCCGCGCAATGTCTGGTGCTTAATATTAAATCTGCTTACCTCTCCGCTGTTCCATCCATGTATGCTAAAGGTTGAGTTTTGCCTAACCCAAGACGAAGCCTGTTAGTTTCAAGTACTGAAAGGGCACTTATTCCCTTAATCGAAGTGCTTCAACTGTTTATTTGTGGGGACGGAATCAAACAGTCCACAGGAATCAACCAGTCCTAAGCTGTTTGAAGTGAAACCCATAAGAAAGTGCATCCTGGGTCTGCGAATTTGGCCTCTTTCGCTGGGCACACGTTCTCCGTAAGGGTAACCTTCATCTACCAAGGTTCTGAATCTAGATCTCTTGTCCACGCGTTCCCCACTCCCCACCCAACTGCTCAACTGCGCGCCTGTTCCAACTGCTTCACCAAACTTTCTCTGAAGAGGGTTTCGGCTTTGTCCACCACCTGGCGCGACCCGACTGACTCGGCCCCTGACTCGGTAAGCCGAAAGGAGCCGCGGAAGCCGCCCATCGGCCCCCAAGTTCCTGTTCCCAAGATGTTCGTACTTCCCACATCTTTGGGTGAGCAACCTTGACCAGAAATTCTTGGCCTTTATGCCGCAACTTGAGCACCAACCTCCACGTTTTACTTCCCGGCCTCTCTGACCTCAGCCCCCATGTACAACCAGGCACCCATCAGGAGAAAAAGCCCATATTTAAAGTGAAGAAATAACCAAACATAAAGGGAAAAACCGTGCCACGGAACTGGAACATAAAGATCATTGTACTGTATGCGCTCATTCGCTCGCTGGTGTATGGAAGTTTAAGCATGGAAGCTCATGTGTGAAGCGCCCCTAAACAACAAACAAACAGAACTTTGACCATTTCCGTTCATTGAAATGTTCCCCTGATTTTGCGCTATCCTTGCCAAAACCATCTACTAAACTTGTTGCCTACCAAAGAAAAAAACACAACTAAAGCCCCCCTCCATCCCCAAGAAGGTTCTTCCAAGAACCTTCTCAAAGGGTTCCTGGACATTTCTGTAGAACCTTTCTCCTGCGCAGGGGGGCCAAGTTTTTGTACCTTCTGAAAAATCCGCGTGGTTCCCTCACTTCCTGAGTCAAGCCAGCCCAAACATTTTCCCACCAGGATGAACCTCCCTCAAATTGGTGGTTTGGAGGTCATGGGTGGTTTCTATTTGTGTTTTGCAATGGGGTTCAAACCCCCAACCAATCCAAGCCACAAACTAAGGGGTAGCTGATAAAATGGCCTTCCGAAGAAGTGTGAAAATTAAATTGGGTGGACCGCTCATCGGCCCCGCCTGCTCGTTGAGATCCCCAATGTGCGCCGAGCTGGGGCCCCCGGTAGGCCTCGCTCGAGACCGGCCTACTTTGTCGGCCGGAGCTCTGTTTGATGGATGCCTCCCCCCAAAAAAAGAAAGAAAAGCAAAGAAAAGCTGTCTTCCTGTCGGGTGACTCGCAGTCGGTTTGCTCCATTGATCCCATTTAACTGTGTTCGTCAATGACACCCCAGTGGACGATTTACGCTTGAGTTCCAACAGCCCAGCTGACAAATTTCCATCTCCCAGATCTCACGGGAAATCGGGGCACCCCTCTTGGCAGATTTTCCAGGGAACCCCTCCCAAAACGAATGGAAACGAGGGCACTGCACGTGTGGGATCTGATTTCTAAGGTGACCGCCAAACCCTTAAGCTTGCCCCCGCAAAACCGCTCGGCCGCTCGGCCACTCGGCCATTCGGCCACTCATCCGAGGCCGGCACTGTAGGGGCATCATGCTCGTCATGTTGGGCCCAAGAAAGAAGATCTGGCATCGGATCGAGAGATTTTCGGACCCCGGCGCTATGAAAAACCACCGCCGGCCCTCACTGAGGGCTGGTGGTCAAAGAACGGTGTAGGGAGCTTGGTGTCTTTATGGTTAACCCGGGTAGAAAAACCTATTGCCACCTACCATCTATGGTCGCCAGCTTTGGGCTCAAACTAGCATGCCACATGTTGGGCGATAAGTTCCATGATGAGCCAAAGAAAGGGGCGAAGATCAAGGCCAACAGTCCAATAGCCACAGACTCACATTGGCTATGGCTCTGAGTCAGTATAGCCGGGTATGCAGCCTGCCGAAAAGTAGGTGATCTTCAAGGAAAGTCCGTTTGAAAGACCCCTCCAACAGCAACAGAGACATAACTCAAGTCATAACTCAAAGTCTGGGCCCCATTGGAGACGCCCACTCGAAGCTGAATCGAGTCACAACATCCAAGCCCGAGCCAAAGAACTGAACCATGACCCCGGTCCAAACCAACCAAAGCCTGCAAGAATGGTCGTGAAAATAACAGCGGATTGGCTCCCATCCTTGTGGATCCTATGGCAATGTTCTCACGGTACAGTAGATCCCAGCACAAAGGTGGCCTAAAACAAAACAAAAAAAAGACCCAAAGTTGGGGTACCGACTCGACAAAAAGGGAACAACCCCCATTCCCCACACCAGCTGGGTCCATTAAAGTGAATATCTTGAAGCCACTTCAGAGACTGTAATTTTGAGGATGTCACTTGAATGGACGTAGTCGGAGCAAGCAAAACATAAGTATCGTCCCATTGCATCACGTTCATGTAGCTGTAGATCCCATTTGTCCCTTGTGGATAGCGGTTTGGGGGGAGTGTAAACCCACGATCCATAAACCCAGGAGCATCATAGGAGGCAACCGGATCACGTTTTGGAGAAACACACCAAAGAAGAAAAATCAACAGATCAATTAATCCAGAGTGGACACTGGCAGCTGTATTGTGCACGCGCAGTGTGGATAAAGAGACTCATACGTTGAGAAACTGCAACAGCATCCGCAGCAACCAAAACCAGAGACACCAGAGCCACAACCAAACAAGAAAGACACCCCTAGAAGAAGAAGAAGAAGAAGAAGAAGAAGAAGAAGAAGAAGAAGAAGAAGAAGAAAAAAACAAGACACCCCGAAAAAGACGGGAGACGATGCACGGTGAGTGGCCAGCCTTCCTCTGGTCTGCGAAGAAGATGCGCGCGAAGTCTCGGCGCCCTGGAGCCGAGTGAGCCCAAAAAAAGCGGGGCAAGCAACATGTCAAGACTACTGTGGATGGACGAAATCCATTTCGCACCACCTAAGAACCATGGGAAACCATTGTTTGTTGGTATTTTACAGCATCATTCCAGGGGGTTCTTAGGTGGTGCAGGATTTCGTTTATGGAGTGGGTTGTTTTGTTGTTTCGTTGAGGGTACCCTGTTTCAGGTTGGTGTTCAAGGGAAACCAGAAGAGAAGCACCTGTTTTTTGTGTGGGGTCCCTACTTTGAGTCAGACCCAAATCCTTTTTTGGGATGGTTCTGAACTCAAAGGACAGCTTTTGGCCGAAAGGGGCCAGTCCCAGCACAACCCACGCCCCAAGGCAATTTAAGTTGTCTTCAAATCGGGGAACCCAAAAAAAAGGGCTTCGCGCCAAGGAAATCACCTCTTTTTGGCTGCACCAATAAATCTTGGCTTAGACCTCTTGAGGCTCGTTTTGAGGGACCTTCCTTTTGGCGTTCCTTTAAAAACCACCTAAGTGCCCAAACAAAAATAATCTCCCTTTGAAACCACCACTAAAGGACCAAAGGACCCGCCAAAAAAGAGGGCAACGGGCGCGCCACGTGCAAACGCTCACCAAACGAGTTGAAGCGCGCTTCTCACTGCGCCTTCTTCCAGCCGAGGCAGGGCACCGCCGAACCTGCGCTTTGGTCGGAAGGAACCCATGGCGCGTGGCTTCTTGAAAGCCCTGGTTCACACCATTGGCCAAAGAACCAAGGAATCATAGTGGCTCAAAACGAAAAGACCTAGGGTTACGCAGGTTTCGCAATTTCATGGGACAATCATATGGGTGGTGGTGTTCCTTTTGGTTTCCCTCACAAAAAAACATGGGATACACGCCATATGGCGCGTAGCTCGGAAAAATGGAATTCCCAAAATATGACCTTGGAACCAAAGACTAAAACCAGCGTAACCCTAGGTCTTTTCATTTTGAGCCACACCCATATGGGTGTATCCCATGTTTTTTGCGGTAAAGGAAACCAAAAGGAAACCACCATGACAACCATCTGATTCCCCTAATGCCAATGGTTTCAACCATGGCTTCTTGGTGCTGGGGTTCGTCTATCTACAGTATGGGTGTGTCCTTAGAACACCCGGGTGATAGTTTTAGCCTCGGAACCCTCCGGAACCTTCCCTGAAAGCTGGCCTGAACCACTCCGGAGCTTATTTGGGCAGAGACCCCAAAGCTTCCAGCAGCTGGGGAACAAGGACACCATTTTGTTGTGATTTTACGGGAAACCAAAGGGAAAACCGCCAGGACCCATATGGATGGCACGTCTATTGCTTGACGGTACACTTTTGGGGTGGTTGTAAAGGAGAAACAATTCTCAACCATCCGGGCCCCAACAAAAGACTCCCCCATATGAACCATCACTTGCTTCTTTGGCCTATAGGTTCATTCCCAAATACCCTGTTTCCTTGCGAGCCAGCAAGCTTCGAGGAAAACACCCGCACCCTTTACGGAACCTGCATCAGATGCCACGTGCGCACACGTCTTTCACGCCTGCCGCGGGGTGCTTTGGCCAGGGAGGCAGGCAGTGGCTCCTACGAGAAATCTGGTGGCCACGTGCCACGATTCACAAGCCAAAAAGCAAGGACTGGCCGCATTAAAATAGGTTCTAAAATGGGTGGTGCACCTACCCCAAAATAGGATCCCATTGGTTTTGACAACCACAGCCATTTTACCATGATCAAAGTCACCCCCTAAGTGGTGGCTTAACGGAAACAACCGATTCCATTTTCTGACTATAACCCCCAGAACCGTCAAAATAATGACCCCAAACGGAATCGGCAAGTGAGGGACCTTCATGGGTGGACTCATGTCCCCAGCTCATTTAAAAAAAAAAAACAAAGTCCACACGAGATTCCACGAGATTCAGCGGTTGCATGCTTGTCCTTGCTTTTGTTCTGGCGCGCTGAACACCGGTCCCATCGCGAACCTTATTTAGGAAGCACCGGCTCCGCGTTTTGGTCCGCGCTGCCCCGAGCAAAAGGTCTACCCTTTTGGCCAAATGGCAAAGCCACTTGTTTCCAAAAGGTCTAGGGGGCTAAGGTCACACCAAAGGCCGGCCAAGTCACATTGTCAAGAAATATGTTCTGCGAGCCTTGAGTGTGTTTTTGGGAATTTAGAGACCGCCCAACGCGACTGCTGTGTTGCCATCCCCAAATGGGGTTGCCCTATCCAGAGACCATTTGCAGAAAGCATTCCAACAGAAGTGTCAACAACCCAACCCTGCCATGGGCGTCACGGGTTTTCCAAAAACAATGATAATAAACAAACAACAAAACATGAAGCAGGTTCACTTGCAATATTTGGGCCTATCTTTTCGGGGACCCTTTCTGTACAGGGCTTCCCTTTCTAACGATGGTCGGGGCTCCGCTTCCCAGATTGTTTGTTTGCCAATGGAAAAAGGGACTGTGGACAGTGGCCTCGCAATGGACGGTATGATCTTTGGTGGCACTCCCCGACCCCTGAATTCCCCCGCAAAACGATAACCCCCTCCCCAATGAGTCTTGCTGAAGTTTGAGCTTGATGACCTTGGTAGAAACTACATATATAATTGTTAAGTACATATATATATATATATTATTATAGAAAAATGATACGGATATGTATACGTGTATGTGTGTGTGTGTGTAAGCTTGCAAACCTCGCGGGCATTTCTGCTTCACGCGGCAAAGTCCTTGACGGCTGCATCCACCTGCCTGACCTGAGCACGAGATCGAGATCTCCCAACCCCTCCCCCAATAATGCAAAATAAGACGCAGAACTTAGAAAGACTGCCTTGTTAAGGCATTTTTTGGGAAGAAACCAGAGACAGGGGGAGGGGTGAGAGGGGGAGAGAGGCGGAGAGAGGGGGAGGAGGGGGAGAGAGGGGGGGGAGGGGGGGAGAGGGGGAGCATTGTCCCGTCGTTTTTTTTCGCGGCCCTAGGTGTTTATACCCGTTTAGGGGGATCAAAGGAACTTCCGGACTACCTTGCCTGCTGGTTGGGGGCATCTAACCAAAAAGAAGTGAATTGGATCCGAAGCCGTTGGGAACCAACTGGTTTGGCTATACCTGCGGCTCCCGCCGAGGGGAATGAACACTGCAAATCGCTGGGAGAACTTGTTACTTCTCCACTCACAAAATGTGGATATGTGTCAAATAGGGATTTGGACCCAATGGAGTTCCTTTGGCTTCCCGAGCCAACCTGAAAAAGGCGCCATCAAGAACAAATACGCACACACGCAACACTTCTGCATCATGTGTTCGAATCTGGTCTTAAACAGGTCTGTCGGAGCTCCTCCATGGCAGCTTATGTTTCGGTCCCACCAGCAAATCGCCGGACGACCATCAGTGTTGGGTATCTTCCTGAGGACTACCCCGACTTCCGCTGCCCCCTAGTATCTAGTATACTTGAGATATAATAGTCGGGCTTTTCTGCAACACCCTCTATTCTCGGTGGTTTGGATTGGCTCCAAGCAAAACATGGGAGCAAAGCCCAACCATCAATCTCATCCATTCAGGCTAATTCACCTGATCTTCCAAATTTCTCCACCTGGGGCACCCCGCTTTGCAGCCAGCACATCCCATGCACGCAAAACGGCGGCCGTCTTGCCTTTCCGCTTTCGAAAAGCCATGGCCATGAAAAGCCATGAATGGCTTTCGAAAAGAAAAACAACGCCGAAATCGGAAACCGCCCTTCGGGTTGAAGTTGGTTGGCCACACAAAACCGTGCAAACGGGTAACAACGTGAGGCTTGTTTTTGAATGACCCCAAACCAAGGCAAAGAACTACAAAGGCGGCCGCACCCAATTGTGATTGGGACTGTCCTTCACCCGGGCTTTTGGTTGTGGCTCTGAAGATAGCCAAACTTCCAACAGGCTGGATCTTGAGAGTGCCAAGACCCGCGAAGCTGCTATCACTTTCCACAGTTGAATGAATTGGCGGTCACATCCGTCATTCCTCGTGACACTCAAGAAGACTTGCCGTCCCCTACAAAACGCACAGTGCCGAAGCATCCCCTTGAGGCTGCAACTTAAACTCTCATGGGTCAACCTGAGATGAGAGGAGTGCTAGTCCAAACCTCCGGGCAAGAATTCTCAGCTCAGTCAGCAAACAGGATCGAAGCACGCCGTGAATGCCTGGCCGGCGCCAAGTGCAACCTTCCATTTCCTACTTTGTTCGCTGACTGGAGAAATACATACCATCCATGTCCGGCTCGTTTGCTCGTGAGCCAAATGCACACTTTGACATGTTCCTGCTTCCCCTCGGGGTACAACAAGCTGAGCGCCCCAAAACCTGACTGCCGACGTGTATAAAGCTTTAGACCTTGCCATAGGCCCCATTCACATGAGCCACGGAAACCAAAGCACCTCTTCTTCAACCGATTGGGTCACGGTTCCCAGCAAGGAATCCTTCTAATGCTCAGAGGATGACCTGGTGGATGGCCGTCCCAACGTTAACCCCAAGAAACCGGTCTTTTGACCATGGCATACATAGGCCACTGACTGGTGCCATGGTTCCCTTGCCCCGAAACCGACACCCCCCGCGGCCCCCGCGCCTGCCGATTCGGATCCGAATCGGCCGAGCCGTGCTCGGAACTCGGCCCCAAGAAAAGCCGCGCCCGGCAGCTTGAGGGCTGCGGGCAGGACTTGCGCAAGGCCCGCAAACGTGAAAACGGATCCGTGGTGTTATTCGGGGGTGTTTGGGGCTCCGGGGTTTGGGGGCTTGGGGTTTGGGGGTTTAGGGGTTTGGGGGTGTGGGGTTCAGGGGGTTAAGAGTTAAGGGGGTAGGTGGGGATTTATATTCGGACCCTCAGACTCATAACCTAGTGTTTTGTCTGCAAGAATCGAGTTGTTGGGCCCTCAGTTTTGGGGACCCTCACAAACGGCCTGTCCTTTCGGTTCTCCTTCAAGCCCATCCCAGAAGGGGCCCTTTGTCCAGCTTCAAATGCTGGACCTAATCGTATAGAGTGAATGCAATCTCAGTACAAACACCCTTGGCTTAAGTATGGCAGATGGGGTGTCTCTTACAGTCCTAAGTCCTGTAGTACAAACCGAAACTGTTCTTGGCTTCATGTTGTTTGTTGGTTATTCGAGCTCCCCTTTCAAACACCCTCAAAAAGGGGGTCACCAAATTGTGGCACCGGACCCACACATTGTGACATAGCCGGCCATTGGCAAATCCTCTTCGCACCAGTTGGTCCACGGGAAACCCACAGGAAGCCACGGTTTTCCGCGACACACAACAAGTCGGACCATTTTGTGGATTCCCCTTTCAGCAACGGAAAAAACATGTCAACCAACATCGCCTTTCAAGGTGTGAAAAGGCTTTGCTAGAATAAGCTTCAACCAAAATGCGGTACGCTAGGGAGTTCTGTTTCTCGAGGCTATCTGATTTTAATGGGTTTGAAAGGGAAACCAAAAGGAAAACCACCCACATGGGGGCCCCCTAAAAACGGACACATCCATGCAAAGAAAATCCAAAGTTGGGTTGTTGAGGCACCTCGAGATTTGAACTGCCCTCTTCAATGACCCTACAACCACCCGAAGACTTATTCAAGGGTTGACGGTTGCGTTAGGAGGAAACTTCGGGCAAAGGCCGTGCAGTTGAGGGCCTTGCGAGGGCTTTCAGGTCCCTGAGCTTCACTTTTCTCAAACTGCCATCATAGTTGAACCATGTTTACCTAGGTAAAAATACCTCGTTAATGACTATTGTGGGAACTGAAGCCCAGGGTTCAATTCCCCAAAAGGAGAACCCCTGGGTTTGAGTCCTTCTCGGGGTAGTCAAAACATGGAACGCTGGCAAGCACTGATCATGTTCACTCCGGATTTATCCGTACTGATCAGGGCCATTTGGTAAGGAAAGGATCTATTCGTCAGAGGAACCTCTGACTAGTAGGGACCGCGTTCATCCGAAGTTCGTCTTTTTCCCGCCGTCGCTGGCGCTGTGCTGTCGCCTGGGAAAGGCTGCCAGTCAGGGCCTTTTCGACTGTGCACGAAATACCATTCGGCTTTGTCTAGCAATACCCATCCGAATCTGCCTATCTGAGTTGTTTTCCAGAATCCATTGAGGCGGCTCAGATGAATTCTAAGTGACCCGTGCATAAAATTGTCGGAGAAGGCATCCCAGGGAAATCGGAAAAGGGCCGACGGAGCTAAAAGCCGGCTTCCGGCCAAGCAGGGAGCATGTTCGCAAATTCCCTCCTGGTACCGTGGCGCTTCACACAGACCCTCACCTAGCCACGTTGGAACCAGAGAGCCAGGTGGGAACAGAACCTTAAACCAGAGAGCACGGCAGGTGGAAGCTGAACCTCTGAACCTTGAACTAGAGAGCATAGCACTGGAGATTGAAATGCGAAGCTCTGGGCCGAGCTTGCTGTGAGTTTCGCGGGTGCGAGATTGAGCATCCCCATATTGAACTCATGGAGCTGAACACCTTCAACGTGGCAGGGTACAGAAACATGTCAAGTGATGTCAAGTGCAGTTTCCGAAACTCGCGAGCCTAAGCGACAAAAAAACCTGGCGAAAAACATCTTTAGATGAGTTACTCTGGGGTCCCAATACAAAAGACCATCCGGGGTCCAAACATGCACCAAAAACGCATACCTCCAGTGGCCATAGGAAGCAGGGACCTCTTTTCTTGGTAGTTGGTGTTATTTCAAGACCCATTCAAAGCATGAAAAGGTCACAACTGGAGGTCTCGGAAGATGATATTTCCATAAAACAGAAGGCTGAAGGTACATAAGTCCCCACGTCTTCCCGGCTCCAAACCATCGTGCCTGTCCATTCCTTGTTCTTTGAATCCCCTACAAACCTGTCGTGAGGTTCCAAAAGGCCTCTCCATGCGCATCTCAAACTATGTTAGACTCTGCGGTCCTATCTGCCTGACTGAGCAACCTGGGCGCGCCTTGGAATACTCGTACAACTTCATCCCTTGAGGCAAGTATGATTCTGAAGTGGTTGGACTAGTTGGTGGCCAGAGGATATCCTTTGCACGGGCGTTCTCAAAATAGGGTTCCTGAATCCCGCGGTTGGTTTCCTCTGGTTTTTCGTTTAAATGCCAACCAAAAGCGGATGCACTATGTGAACAACAAACCGCTCCAGAGAGTACGACGGCAACCAGCGTCGGTCGATTTATTTTCACCGCACTGCCTCAAGTGGGTGGGATCGTACCTGTTGGTCGATCTGTTTCAATCTCTGGAGTCGGTGTGCGTGTCTCTCAGACACCACTGACTCGAAAGTAAAGTACAACAAAATAAAAGGTAAGCAAATGCAAGTGCATGCAAACCCAAAATGTTGTACAGCAGAGTTTCGAAGAGGGAGTGGACGTTCTCCCGTCCTCTCACTCGATGCTATAAATGCAGACCGACAGGTACTGAGGGCATGCAGTGAAAACTGGTGAGGGTGGGTGGGAAAGAAAAATTTGGCTAATTCGCCAAAATGGCGAACGGAGCATGAATCAAGCAGTGTCATCCTGCAGGCACTCAAGGTTCGAATCTGAGTGTGATTCAAATGCCTTCCGCTATCGGTTGTTACTTTTAACACAAGTGTTAACCGCAACAACAAACCGCTCCAGAGAGTACGACGGCAACCAGCGTCGGTCGATTTATTTTCACCGCACTGCCTCAAGTGGGTGGGATCGTACCTGTTGGTCGATCTGTTTCAATCTCTGGAGTCGGTGTGCGTGTCTCTCAGACACCACTGACTCGAAAGTAAAGTACAACAAAATAAAAGGTAAGCAAATGCAAGTGCATGCAAACCCAAAATGTTGTACAGCAGAGTTTCGAAGAGGGAGTGGACGTTCTCCCGTCGTAGGTCAACTCCCGTCGAAGGTGAAGCCGAAGGCGAACGACCTAGACAAAAGGCACGTTGAAGGCATCCTTACATCGATCAAGTCTCCTTACTGTGGACAAGATTCTCACGGGACGTGGAAGTCAAGTCGGGTTCAGGAGGAATGATTCCTGTGGAACTGTTGGAGTTCCTTTATGTCGTCAAATCCGACGGCATGGGCGAACTCAATATCGCCAATGATTTTGCACGTCCGTTTATGTAGAGCGTGCATGGGGGGTTCCAGAATCTGCCAGTGGTGCTTCGAGGCAAGGGACATGTCATGTCGACTGAAGGGGTCGGCTATATTAGCATGTGTGGGCACACGGGCAATGTGCAACTGCAATTGCTGTCGGTTGTGCCATGTCCAATGTGCACCGAGCAGGCAGTTTAGTGGTTGGTGTTTCCCAACTCCCCGTCTGATGGCGTGTTTGGCCGCTTCGTTGTCGCACAACTGGAGGTAGGTGTCAGTGATCCATGGTCGAAAGATCACAGGAGCGATCAACGCGGCCCATGCCTCGAGGAAATAAATGGCGTTGGTGCCAGTACTCACTTGTTGGAGTAAGTTAGGGGGTAGTGCGCCCGAGACCACGCGGGTCCTGTGTGCCTGTGGGCTGAACAGCACCGCTGCCCATCCGTTGTCGTGCGACCAATCGGGTGGCAGACAATCCCGATCCCCTGCGTCCTTGACACGCCAGACCGTCTCGCCCTGCCGACAGAACGCGTCGGTGTAAATGATTGAGAGGTCTCTGGGCCTGGTGGACAGTGGGACGCTGCGGGGTGAGCTATGTTGCAGGATATTCAGGAGGCACAGAATGGCAGCTCGAGTTGGTTTGTCGATCCGGTCGGAAGTGCTGTGTGCTTTGTGGTATAGGGCGGCTAACGCCGATCGCCCTACTCGACCGAACAGGTGTCCGGTGACAAAGTTGCACTTGCCGGCAGTGCGTCGGGCGGTGTCGTTCGACATACCTCCCTGTTCGAGACACTGAGACAGGGTGTGTGACAGTGTACGGACTCGGTCTGGGCACGGTCGAAGGGTTGCGTGTGTTGCCGACAGGTCGACATAAACCCCTTGTATTTTGTGAGAGGGCGCCGGTGGTTGTTCCTTGGATGTCTTCATATGAAATCCAAGTAGTGAGTTGAGCTTGCTGAATGAGGAGAAGGAACTGGCCGCGATGTGACTGGGCTGTATGGCCCCGTAGTCGTCAACGTAGTGCAGGGCAGGTGTGAGTGTAAGTACGCGGGCGAGTGCGGTGAGTGCATCGCCGAAGCGGTTGTAGCCCCAGACGCTGGCAGCGGAGCCGAACAGGAGCACGTGGTGGTGCCAGAGAGTTGGGCCGTCGGGTGTGATGAGTAGCACGTATGCTACCTCCGGCTGTGCGAGGGGCAGTTGACGGTAGGCGCCGTCGTGGTCGTGTCCCCACACATGTAGCGGGTGTGCGTCGTCGTGATATTGTCTCGCACATTGGATGTAGTGGTCGGGTGTGTGATGGTAGGGTTGATCGTGCATGGAGCACGTCTGGTTGTGGCCGCTGCGGCGCCAGTCTTCTCCTCTCCGGACTTTGGGTTTTCCGTCCGATCCGGTCTGTTGTATGCTGAATGCGACTGCCACAATGGGATCGCGATGTGGGATAGGAAGGAGCCGGCTGGTGTGGGGGAAAAGGTGCAGGGGTACTGTGCGAGAGGTCCAATGAGTCGGTGCCTCGAAGGGGCCGGCCATACGTCCCTGGGCCACTTCCCCCGCGATTTCGGTGGCCATAAGAGTCCAGTGGTCGTCGATCTTGTGTTGTTGTAATTTGCGCTGGATGTAGG